TCAAACTATGCAGGAATATTGTGGAACCTCTGATGAATATTCACTCACGTCTAGGGTTTGTCAGACACTTGAACACCTGAGATCTGTCTTTTTCTGCCGTGTGTGTGTGTGTGCGCTACCAGTTAGAATACGTCCCCGTCACTCTGCTTCCTTTAGTTGTGTTAAGGACAGAATTATACGGTTTAACTTCACAGTAAATGCCAAGAGAGCGAGACATGTGCCTACCCACAACGTGGGACGTTAACAGGTTCTGGTTTTGGAGTCTCTGATGAATCTCATCTGTTGGAAAAAAAACAAAAATACAAAAAAGAAAAGAAGCAATTTCTGTCACACTTTCTAAGTTTATAGTATGCTATTTATTCTTTGTATTATTTATTTATTTAAGGAATAGATCTTGCTCACTTTTTCCACCATGTTTTTACTCCCAGATGAAAATAAATATGGATGCTTGAACGTGTTGAATGTGACTCGTTGCTCTGAACAGTACAGAGGCGGGCGGCGGGGGGGACAAAAGCTTAGTCAGCACATTCGGCGCATGGAGTGTGCCGGCCGGCCGGCTTACTGAGACCAGGAAAACATGTCTGCCTGCACGTTCACATTGCAGAAGAAGTGAAGGCATGTGCCGGGCAGGAAACGCAGCGTCACATTTGTTCGTCACAAAAGCACTCAGCTGTTTTGGACGGATGTTGCACTTCTGCTTTCTGATCTGAAGTTGTGGGTTTGGGTTTTTGTGCAAACTGCACACTTTTTCTTCGGCTTTGAAACTTTCCAGAGTTTTTGTGCACGCTGAGGCTGGTAGGGGCAGGCTCGCTCCTGTCAGCTGACATGTCACACAATCCAGTACAGCTGCTGGGCAATAATTTCTACTTTTATAAAGTTTTACAACTTCAGTTTTCGTTGACACTGACAAAAAGGTGAAAAGGTGTCGTGGCGGGTGGGTGATGGTGATGGGTGGTTGATATGTGTGATAATGCCTCCATCATGCATCCATCACCAACTGCAACCTCAGTAATTAACATGAAAACAGGATTATCATCTTATTAAGTCAACAAAATTGAAAATGTACAAGCTTCCTAGAAGTAGAGCTGCATTGGATTGCGTTAAGATTTCACAGGTTTACCAAAAGTTTTCCAGAACTTGATTCTGTTTTCCAGCTTTGCCTGATTTCTGTAGGAAACCTGAGTCTGAATGAAGGAGTCTGGACATCACATTATGTCAAAAAAAAGACAACAGAAAGTAGATTGTTAAAAAATAATAATTTATTTGCGATCATGAAAGTACAAAAACAGTGCAATGTTATGAGTATTTGAATATCAAATAAAGTTGAAAGCGGGACTGGTCTACACAGATACAGAATCAAACCACATTTGAAGTCTTTGCTTGCACATATGCTGCACAACGCAAGGTACTGGTAGGCCTTCACGTTTGAACTGAAGCGCTCACAAAGGTCCTCAGCGCTTCTCTGGGCGTACAGTTCATCAGTTTGTGTCCGATTCGTTTAATGGTCATGTATAGAAAAAGGAAAAGAAAGAACACAATGGTCTTCAATGACTATAACAAGATAGCTAGCTGCCGTTTTATGGTTTCAATAGAAACTGAGGTACGCACTTTAATATTTGCAAAATACCTATTTGCCATATATAGCATGATGATTACACTTTGTAATGTTGAAAATCTGAATCTCAGCGAGCAAGTGTGAAAGCAGCACCTGCTCCTGGTACCATAAACTTCAGCTCCTGTACATGAGGAACAACAGGCTACATCATGACAAAGTCCATCCTCACGCCTCAGAAGGCATCGTATACATGTAGTTATACTAGTAAGGCCCTCCTGTGAGCTTTTACTGTCGCTTCACGGACTAAAACACAACAGTCCCCTCGCACGTCTCAACATTCTTCGATAAGCAGCTCTTCAGAAGAATACAGCTTCTTCTTGATCACGCGGAAACCAGTGCTCAGTTTGATAGCTTGTCTCACTACTGGAGTGGAAGGAGACTTGCTGAAAAGTCCTTGGATTTTGGGCCACAGGCCGCCCGACTCGAGCCTCAGCACCAGAGTGAGCTGAAAGGTGGGCACGAGGTAGGGGTCCACAGATAGCTGTCCCATGCTCTCACAGACGGCCCCTTGCTCCACACAGAGGTCGATGAGAGCCCCCCTCAGACCGCAGGGCTCACTAGCTGCCAGGTGAAGGAGCTCCTGCCCGATGTGCTCGAGAAGTTTCTCAGGAATGAGCAGTTTGGTACACCTCAAGGCGCAGTCCGAGTCTTTGGCTTCTCTTAAGCTCCGCGCTATGAGGTTCACCACTTCTTTCAGGATCGTTTCCTCCATCGGATCGTAGAACAGGTCGTCATTAAAGGGATACAGGTCACTGGAGAGGTCTGACCCTGCAGGAGAGACACGGAGGGTTAGAACTCATGCATGCAACTGGAAGAAAGCCTCAGACGAACGATGACACATGTTTGCAAGCTCAGCTCACCTGATTCTGAGAGATCACTCCTGCTGCCGTCGTTGGACACCGACTCAATGCTGCTGCTGTTGGCAGATGTGTTGAAATCGGTCAGTCTCTGGACCAGCTTGCCCCAGGACATCCTCCTGGGGCTGCTGTCCACCGGGGAAGGGGGTGAGCTGCCAATTTCGGTGGGTGCAAAGAGATCAGGCATGGTTGTCCTCTGCAGTGTTCAACAGGATCAGCTGCTTCTGTGGGCAGCTGTTCAGGAGGAAACAAAGGCAACAGATAAGCACTCCGCTTCTGACATTTAAACTGTGTTCAGCAGTCAAATAAAACACAAGTGACAGGCATTTATGAAAAATATACATGAACGGCAAACATTTGCAGCAAGATCATCTTTCATTTGCAGCTGTTTCTTTGTTAAAAACATGAATGACGCAAGCAAAAATGGAAAATTCAAACACGGTACTTACAGCTTATTTGGAAGAGATGCAGATGGAGTGTGTTGTCGCTGCTGCAGATGAGTATCTGGAAGGTTATTGTCTGCAAAAACAACTGTCTGGAAACTTCTGTCCCCAGCCTTCCTTGTTTGCCTCTCACCAGCTGCCAAGCTCTGCAGTCTGTCCTGCAACAATGTTTATATATGAGCCCCGAGGCCACGCCCCCTCCGCTGCAGCCAGCCAATCAAAAAGAGAGGCACGCCACCCGAGCTGTATCTTGCCTGGTAACCTGCCAGCAGAGAAAGACAGACAAACAGGAGGAGGAGGAGGAGGAGAGATGAGGGGGTTGGGTTGATGAATAGCAGCAGCCAGTGTTGTGGATATGCACGGGGACATGTGTGGGCTTGCAAAGGATCAT